AGCAGTTGAAAACACCGAATTTTCTATTGTCAATATCAGTCATTACTCAGAGGCATCAAATAGGCGGATATGCACATATTCATCGACTACTACCAGCCACCCACTGAAAGCCACTACATAAATGGACATGTCCAGGGGGGAAGCTTTTTGCCAAAGGCGGCGGCGGCTCGGGCCCATCGTTCATGCTCGGGTTGCAGAAATGGGGAAGCCTTGGGGGAGAGGAGCACGAGAATGTGCCCCCGAGGGCACTCACTGGATCAGAAAGACATCAGAAAGAGCGGGGGATTGTTGCGCGTGAGTGATCACCACCACTTCACAGAGCGTTCTTGCCGTTGGCCACTGCTTGTTGAGCCCTGATGGGGTCGGGGAACGCATAGAGTTCATTCTCAATCGTTCCGGACCTTAAATCGACTTTAAACTTCAAATCCGAAGTTCTTAAGCTCGGTTTAAAGAGGCTGGGAAACCCGATCACCGACCCATCTTTTCCTAGGTCTCCACAACGGCGAGCCGCTCCAAATGACGTCATTCCACTTGTTTTTAGCCATGAGAAAATCAGGTTGAAGCAAGGAAAACTAGCGAACTTCCGTGCGTACTTTGGTAGCCGGCGTAGTTGTCGAGATCTAGTCGGTGAAAGGGGTAGATTGTCGACTTTCTGGCTGTTTAAATAATCTCGAAAAGAACCCCTATAGCTCTTGAAGCTCTGATAAACTAAAAAACTGTGGGAGAAACTGCTTTTAGAACTTCTTGAAATTCGGTGGAAAACGCAGTCGTTGCGTAGAAATGTGTGAATTTTTTGTATCTATTGCCTGGAAAATCCTAAAATCCTTTGATGAGGGCTTGTTCACGTAAATTCCTATATCATACTGTAGCTAGCATAGCCAAAAAAGCAAAATCCATCTTTAGAATCCCGGTAGAATCCGAAACAATCGATGAGTCCAAGAATGGATTCACAGCCTCAATCCTCCAAGCCCTAGGGGAGGCGAAAGTTGAGAGAGGACATCGAAATTTGGGGACGTTGGCGGATTGGATGGTGGTAAGGGGAGCTGGAGAAGTGTCGCTTCAACTGGAAGTCGAAATGAAATTATTCGACACCCATCCCCCCCTCCTTCAACTCCCCCAGGAGGAGGAGGAGGAGAAGGAGGACGAGAAAAAGAGGAGGAGCCTCCCAACCCCCTCCCCAAGTCCTCTCCTTTTTGGGCCTTCTACCCTCCGGATGTCATTGTCTCATTTTCACAGCAAGCGGACGGGCGGTGGGAGCCGAATTTTTCAGGGAGTAACGGGTGGAAGTGCTGCCGATTCGTCAGGAAAAATTTGTGGAAGCAAGCACGAACGACGGACCATGTTGCGTAGCCAAAAAACCACTTACAGTCAGGTGTTTTTACTCAGGATAGGGCTTTGAAAAGAGACCAAGCCAATCTTGTGCAAAATTTACTCCGACTTCAATTCTGTTTTCAAAAATTTCGTAATAACACTTTCTGAAAAGTTAAAACGTATTTTAGTGTCCTGCAATGTAAAAAGATCTTAGCTGGCAATGCCACAAGACGGCCAGAACAATATTCCGAAAGATTTATATTGCAGGTCTAGCTCATAAAAAAATGGGTTTTTAGATCAGGTATCATGCTGGTTTCATACGTAGAGAAGAAACGAACCCCTCCATTTCACATCAACTATATGTGGCGCCGCCAGCGCTAACAAGACGCGTAAGCGCTAAATTAAAGAATATTTCTCGTTCTGGGTACGGGTTGTGAGCATCTTGCACCTGAAACCCGGTGTTTTTTCGAGTATAACCCGCTGTTTAAAGCTTCCCGAAAACAAAACTCGGCCGATTCTATGATACATTGAAGTTCTCGTGCTTTTAAATTATAGGGCACTGGAATAAGTAATAACCTTTCAAAAAGTGTCCATCCGCAATTCTGGAAGCAGGTTTGGAATCAGGGTAAAATTCCGCACAAGATAGGTACGTTTCATCGCAAAGTCCCACCTCGAATAAAAACAATTTGCTGTTAATGCACGATTTCCATCGACTCTGACGTAAATCATCGAGCAAAGCCGGACGATCCATTAAAGCGCCACACTACCGGAAACTCGCCTCGCGCTTGGTAGAACTTGCATTCAGTTGACCTGCAGATCAACCGTACTATTAGAGTAGTTTGTGCAAAGAGCCACAAAAAAAAATGTGATTTCAAAATTGACCAGGAAGCAAAACTCAGGCGCGCCTTTATGGCACATCCCTTCAAAGCAAAGAACTTCCCCAAACGTAGTGGACAAACTATCGTTTTTGGCACAAAATATTGCACACAGCCATCCTTAGCTTGCCAAAATAATGTCACAAAATGAAAGTTTAGATTCAACGACTTCACGTGAAAGCAATGGAACGGGTCATTTTAAGTCAGTCAGTTTAAGTGCTTGTAACTACATATACTTTACCGCATTGCGGGTCATTTTGGGTGTAACTGTACCGAATCTTGCCCAATTATTGCTAATCTTCAGACGTGGAAGCAACAAATAATCCGGATCTCGACAAACAAAGCATCGCAACTAAATACTTCCACATTTGTGGCCAAATGCGGTTACCAAAGCATTCGATTCAACAATCAACAAGCCTGAAAAATCGCGTGAAGAAAGTTCCACCAAAATGTTAAAACACTTACAAGCTTGCTAATGCACCTCAACTCTTAAAGAATCATTCCTTGTTAACCTTGGTGTCTGTTAACCGATATAAATGCTTCGTTTTCTGAAGAATACAGTATACAATATACAATGTTGGGCGCAGTACCTACAAATCGCTGGATGCTGCCGCCATTAATGCGCAAGCCGAGCCGCGAGTCGGCAGCAGCCGCTGTCGATAGGAGCTGGCTGTCAGCAACGCAAGCAATTGCTGAAAAACTGCAAAAACACTGAAACCCCGATATCGTTCTTCCCGTGTGCTTAATTTACTCAGTCGTTTACATTCGTGTAATTCTCTCCTATTTAGGACAATGTCGCGCGGGAGCTCGGAGGACGAGCGAGTTGACCTCGAGGCTCTCGTAAGTTTTCAATACTTCTTCGTAAGGCCATTTTAGATAGAAGCTGACGATCAGCTAACACACGAACCGGAAAGTCCATTCCAAGAAGGTCAGGTGATGTTTCAGATATCGTGTCTCGGCATACGGCACGATGGTTTCATTTTTATTCTTGTTTTTTGCGGCGAAGTCGGGATCAATTACATCAAAAACTTTCATTTTTAATCAAAAACTTTTCCGATGGCTTCGCTTATCGGAAATGCTCTTTCTTTGCCTAATTACAGTTGAATTCTTAATTTTGCAGATCTGTCGATGAATTCCGTAACGGAGAGGAAGGCGGTGCCTTACGTTCGCGCTCAATCCGGTCAAGACCACGCTGCTTCAGGATCTCGAGGTAGGTAGTTTTTGGCTTCGCTTATCGGAAATGCTCTTTCTTTGCCTAATGGCAGTTGAATTCTTAATTTTGCAGATCTGTCGATGAATTCCGGAACGGAGAGGAAGGCGGTGCCTTACGTTCGCGCTCAATCCGGTCAAGACCACGCTGCTTCAGGATCTCGAGGTAGGTAGTTTTTGGCTTCGCTTATCGGAAATGCTCTTTCTTTGCCTAATGGCAGTTGAATTCTTAATTTTGCAGATCTGTCGATGAATTCCGGAACGGAGAGGAAGGCGGTGCCTTACGTTCGCGCTCAATCCGGTCAAGACCACGCTGCTTCAGGATCTCGAGGTAGGTAGTTTTGGCTTCGCTTATCGGAAATGCTCTTTCTTTGCCTAATGGCAGTTGAATTCTTAATTTTGCAGATCTGTCGATGAATTCCGGAACGGAGAGGAAGGCGGTGCCTTACGTTCGCGCTCAATCCGGTCAGACCACGCTGCTTCAGGATCTCGAGGTAGTTTTTGCTTCCTTCGGAAATGCTCTTTCTTTGCCCTAATGGCAGTTGAATTTTAATTTTGCAGATCTGTCGATGAATTCCGAACGGAGAGGAAGGCGGTGCCTTACGTTCGCGCTCAATCCGGTCAGACACGCCCTTCAGGATCCGAGGAGGTGTTTTGGCCGCTTATCGGAATCTCTTTCTTGCCTATGGCGTTGAATTTTAATTTGCAGATCTGTCGATGAATTCCGGAACGGAGAGGAAGGGTACTACGCCCGCGCTCAATCCGCAAGACCACGCTCTTCAGGATCTCGGTGGTAGTTTTGCTTCGCTTATCGGAATGCTCTTCTTTGCCTAATGGTTATTCTTTTTTTTCGATCTGTCGGACTGGGAGAGGAAGGCGGTGCCTTAGTCCGCTCCAATCCGGTCAGATCACGCTGCTTCGGTCCGTGGTGTTTGGCTTCGCTTATCGGATGCTCTTTCTTTGCCTAATGCAGTTGAATTCTTTTTTGCGATCTGTCGATGCCGAACGGAGGGAGGCGTGCCTTACGTTCGCTCAACCGGTCAAGACCACGCTGCTTCGTGATCTCAGTAGGTAGCTTTGGCTTCGCTTATCGGAAATGCTCTTTCTTTGCCTAATGGCAGTTGAATTCTTTTTGCGATCTGTCGATGAATTCCGAACGGAGAGGAAGGCGGTGCCTTGTTCGCGCTCAATCCGGTCAGACCACGCTGCTTCAGGATCTCGAGGTGGTGTTTTGGCTTCGCTTATCGGATGCTCTTTCTTTGCCTTGGCGTTGAATTCTTTTTGGTCTGTCGATGAATTCCGGAACGGAGAGGAGGCGGTGCCTTACGCCCGCGCTCAATCCGTCAGACCACTGCTTCCAGGATCTCGAGGTAGGTGTTTTTGGCTTCGCTTATCGGAATGCTCTTTCTTTGCCTATGGCAGTGATTCTTAATTTTGCAGATCTGTCGTGAATTCCGGAACGGGAGGGAAGGCGGTGCCTCGTTCGCGCTCAATCCGGTCAAGACCACGCTGCTTCAGGATCTCGAGGTAGGTAGTTTTTGGCTTCGCTTATCGGAATGCTCTTTCTTTGCCTTGGCAGTTGAATTTAATTTTGCAGATCTGTCGATGAATTCCGGAACGGAGAGGAAGGCGGTGCCTTACGTTCGCGCTCAATCCGGTCAAGACCACGCTGCTTCAGGATCTCGAGGTAGGTAGTTTTTGGCTTCGCTTATCGGAAATGCTCTTTCTTTGCCTAATGGCAGTTGAATTCTTAATTTTGCAGATCTGTCGATGAATTCCGCAGGCCCGTCGAGGCGAAGCGCTCCTATTGTTGTCAAACCGGTGGCCACACGATCGCCGAAAAAGAAACGGGTGCGTTTGTTATGGTCGCAACTGTCTTTTGAGGGGTTTGACTAACAATTGTTAGCTTGATAATTTTGTGCCTAAATCGATTTTTTTAGTCAGCCGAACCGACGGAAGGCGGCTACTGCCAAAAATGCCGGACTTACTTTGAGAGACTGTCAACGTGGTTCGCCCACCAAGCTCAATGCCGCGGGACGGATTAAATTTATATTGATGCCAATGATCGAGATTTTATTTGATATTTTATTTTTGGATGATTTGCTGTGATGAAGCGAAAATAGTAGCACCACCTCACAGTGTTCAAAATAAATCGCTGCTGCAAATGCCTGTAAGAATGCTGAGCGAGTTGGAGCAGCCCAGCGGCTACGACCTAGTTTTTATGGGAACTTATGAGTCCTAAACCCTACAAAATTAGGTAAGATTTTCTTTTCTTCTTCTACCTTATATGGACGCAGGCCTCAGCGCCAAACTTTCTCTGCGTCTCTCGTTAAACGTACCCTCTGTTCTCTTTCAAAAATCCTTCTCGGCAGCGAGAATTCGGTTGTCGGTGTCTCTGTGCTCCGCGTCGCGCATCTGTCCACCTCAGGGATGCACTAACAATAACAATTTTGCTACACTAATGTTCTATTTAGGATGCCAAGGGTTAATGTCATGAAGTTTTATAATCAACAAAATAGAGTTTTTAATCTTTCAACTTTGTAAAAACACTCAAAATATATATAAACGTGAGTAACGTTCGCCCGGATCTAGCTTATTGGACCTCATTTACGAACATAATTGATATTTTCTGCAAACACCCACAAAATTCCTGATTTTAATTTATAAATCCTTGGGTAGCATTTGCTGAATTATAGGTTTCGATAATTCATCCGCACATTGAGTTTATTATATAACATTACATCCGGTATTTACAGTAGAATTTTATTAGTGTTTTAGAGTTTTCAGAGCAGATGCAGAGCCCCTGAAGAGCCTATTGGGAACGATTGCATTTCAATTCCTGGATAAGTTTTTAGTGCGAGCTGTCTTTCGCTAAGTTTTCGTTTTCCGAGCTTTCCCACCTTCCAAAAAAAAATGTTTGCTGGCGTTTCATGCTAGTAATCACTCACTCCCCTGCCGCGACCCCGACAGTTCCTCCTACTCTTTCGCAGTATCCCGCAGTCCCCCCTTCTTCAACTGACCGCATAGGCTCCATCCCGGGCCCGGACACTTCCGCCCCGAAGTTTCGAGGGTTACCGTATTTCGGATGGAATAAGCCCGGCCTTTTTTCAATCACCACAAAAGGAGGCTTTGTTGGAGATGAATGTTCTAATACAGATTGTCTCAAAATGGCCCCTCAGCATTTGGCCGTCTCACATCCAATCGGTCCTAAAAACCACTAAGTCCGATAGCCGATCCATTGCTATAGTTGTCGTGGAATTCTCTCATGAACGACGGTGGCGAGCGCCGAAATTTTGAATTGCCGGCTTAGTTGCAACCACGCAATCATCGCAACCAAGAGTGTATGCGGTGCCCTTTTAATGGAAGCGGTTTGGCGCGCCCCCGACATCTGCGCTATTTCAAATCACCAGTCGACGATTATTTTCTTGTCTCTCTCTCTCTCTCTCTCTCTCTCTCTCTCTCTCTCTCTCTCTCTCTCTAAAGCTTTGAATTCCGGCGATGTCGATTGCCTTGTTGCGACTGCCGTCGAATTGCAACAAGCCGCATGTGCGCATCTGAGTTTTGTCGCGAAATGGAGCCTCCTGAAAGCTACGAAAGTGCGTTGTCCTTTTTGTATACCTCATTTACTAGACAGTTGACAGAGTGAGAATTACACAGAAAAAGAGCTATAGAGACGGATAGAGACCATTGCTTTGCTCATTTCAGGCTCGTACGATGATGCACAAATCGACGATCGGCCTGCCGTGCCGTCAAATACTGGATGTTGTTGTGTGGCTGGAAGAGACGGTAGGGTTTAACGTTTTGCCCTAACTGTAAAGTTTTTGCTCAAGTTTGGGTTTTGGAATGGGACCAAGACTATCTTGTGCAGAATTTCGCTGATTTCGAACCTACGGTCGGATTCGCGCCATGGGGCATTGGCAGGGTGTCCGCCTGCCAAGCATATGACGGCGGTTCAAACCGCAGCCTGCACAATTTTCTTTTGCACAAAAACACATAATATTTTGCATAAAAATCGTGCTTTGTCCTCTAAAACCGTTACTGAGTCGGTTTCAACCTGGTGGTCCCGGTTGACCTAGTAATCAAATATAAAGTGTTTTCGAGTTGTTTTTAGTATATTTAATTTTTTTTTAATCTTTATTCGTTCGACCTAAATTTTATTTTTTTAAATTTTTTTGGTTAAAATGTGTGTAGTTTTTATGCACAGGAATAGTTAAAAACAATTTAGAAACGCATCCGCAATTTATAAAAAAATCGAGGCTTGTGCCGAAAAAATTTGTTTCCCCCTCCCCAGGGGCGTACACGAACCCGATTTTTGGGGGGGGGCAACTCGAAAATTTTTGTCGACCTCCCCCGGTCACCACTTTCAAAACATTCAAAATCGCAGCTATAACAGCGCCGCAGGACACAAAATTAGGAAAAAGCGTTAGGAAACGCTCAAATTCATGTAAAAAACATCACAGAAAAGGAAAAAACAAAAAACAGTAAACAGTAATGAACAGCGCCGCAGGTAGAAAAATTTTATTGAAAAAATCATAAGGGTCCCCCTTATGAACTTTTCGACCTTCGGCCGATTTTGGGGGAGCCAACTTGCCCCTGTTGCCCCCTCGTACGCCCCTGCCCCTCCCCCACCGGGAATCCTAAAGAACCAAATGATTTTTTGATAATTTTGGCAGAATTTTGTATAACAAGTAATCGATCGAAACTTTTTCCACCATGACAAATTCGGCATTGGTAGAATCGGCATTATAGGGAATCGGCGTTATGAAAAATCGGCATTATCAGCGTAAACCAACTAACACCGCCATGCTTTCAGTTGATTGTAGCTGAGTGCGAAAGCAGGAATGAGTTCTTCAGACTGTTATGGAGGCCCAATTGATTCTAATTTGTTTCCTGTATCTCGCAAAAGGCCCAGAGAAAGATGCGGCGGGCGGAAACAGGTGGATTTGTTTGTGCGAGAATTTCAGCTTTTTACTAACGAGTCCAAGTTATTCATAATAATATTTTCAGGAAATCTATCTGCATTGAGCTGCAAATAAAGCCAAACCACGGAATGTCTTTACTAAACCGACTACTTTATGGGATTAGGCCGCGAACCCTCGGTCTTTACACGACTGACGATGGATACGATATGGTGGGCGTTCGGGTGATGGTCGGAATGTAGAAATTCTGGTATCTCGACATTTTGAAATCCCGAAATTCCGGAACTATTGGCGTCTGCAAAGATTTCAACATGTCAAGATTCGAATCTAGATTCAAATATCGATTGTCCCGACAAAACCACCTCCCACTAACTAGACGGAGAAGGGACGAAACGGGCTGGCAGTTCGAAAACCCTTGGAATGACCATATGTAAATGGTTAGAATGCATTTTCTAACTAAAAAATTCCCAAAACTCGTGATTTCCAAGCCCCGATACTTTAAAGAGTTCAGGACGGCCCGTGTCGATTAGGGCTCATCAACAGCTGGCAGACAACCAAAGATGGGTGAGAGCGCGTGTCAAATTGAGTGGGAGCAGGCATTATTCCGCCGATTTATGCAAATTGAAGCAAATTTTATGGGCCGTCCTGACTTTAATTTTACGAATTTTAAATAGTGGATCTGATTCAGAAAAACGTGCTCGTTCGAATCAGTTGGCTCGCTGAGGGCTTTCTCGTAGTTTTCGAAACAATTGTTTTTCTGGAGTCACAGTGTGTTCTCGCATGCCCCGTTAATTTTGTTGCTTTTCCCAAATTTCATTGAAAGCTCTTTGTGAGCCAGCTCATTCAAAGATCACGTTTGCTGAGTTAAATCAGGATTTAAGATTCGTAAATTATTATTCCCTAGCATCTTAAAGGGCTCTTAAGTCCTAGTTTTGGAAATTTCCGTAGATTAATGCACTGATTTCTAAATATGATCATTTCGTAACATCTAAAAACGGGCTCCTGACCAGCTCAAAATTCTGCACAGGATGGACTCGGTCCCATTTCGAAATCCCACCTAACTGTTGGTCTGAACCTAGGGAGGCAACCATCGCTTTTTTTGGAAAAGTAGACTCGATCCGCGCGCCCGATTTTTTTGCTTCCTAGCGCCTTTGAATTAATTTATTCTGGCAGCTGTACAGCAGAGTCGAGTCCATTCGTTGTAATTTGGCCTGTTTTTAAGACGCCGATCGAGCTCGAGATCATGAAAGGGCCGTTCTCTTTCCTGGTGGAAACGTGGCGCGCACCGGAGATGTTCAAATGGCTAGCCTCGACCGGGCTGAGCGCCGACACAATTGTAGGGTTCATAATTCGGGTGAGCAGTAGTTCTTGTACCCCCATTTTAGGCGGTCAAACACTGCGGCGATACAACCGATCCCGAAACTCGTCTGGAACTGATCGAGGCGTTTCATTTAGTGAGACTGAACCGAAGTTGAGTGTTAGACGGAGAAATTTTACAGGCGGCTTCCGCTTCTCGCATTCTATATCGGCTCCTGAGTCCTGAGATCGGTTCACAACTGGCTGATACCCAAGACATTTTGCAGATGGTCTGGGAAGTAAGGTTTATTGGGAAGGCTAACAAGGGACCACGTAAGGTCGAGGTGGCGTCTCGTTATGGGATCCGGCCTATTTTGTGCAACATTTTTCGCTGATTCCGAATCCGCTTTCAATTTTTGCCAATTAGCTCGATTTAAAAAGTTACCAGGGTTGAAAAGCCGCTTCGCGGCTTTTCAACCCGTCCTAACCCCTCTTGGGCCGCATGCTGTTCTACGCTTTGCATAATTGCGATGAATTCAGATGACAAACAAATGAAAATGATTTGCTTGTGACCCTTTATATAGGCGACTCCCCACTTCCGGTCACTGCGAATTTTTCCTAGCGTAGAGGGTTTTACAAAAACTTAAATTTAATATCGAAAATGGCTGAGTTTTATAAATCCTGATATGTGGGCAGTCATGCCTGGACCATTACGCACCTAATGACGTATCGTACCCACCCCTAACTTCTTTCCCTATGGAGATACTACTGGAACAACGATACGGAAGTGGATGCAAAGTGGCACACACACACACATACACTATTTT